AAGGAAATTTTCTTTGTTGGCTACCAGGGGTGAGAGGGTATGGTAGGTAACACTGTTAGATAGGTAGAGATAAGTACTGATTTGGGTGAAGAGATGGGCAATGTACCAAATATAAGTAAGTGATCAACATGGTTGCATTGAGGAAGGGGAAGACAGAGAGAGGTACATGGGAGGTGCAGAAAACAAACATGAACCCTTGTGCACATATAGTACTGTGTTGTCAGTGAAGGCAAACATGGGTATACGATGGATACATGGGTGGACAGGCTGAACTATTAGGTATGTCTATGCAGCAGGGAGTGTACCCAAGACCATGTATAGGGTTGCCAGACAATGGTTCTACAAGTATATTTGTATGTTCTGTAAGAATTCCCAGGGGTATAGTACAGCTGACAAGGGACAAGGTTTGTAGTCACTTCGTAGTCAGTCAGCTACCCAGATGGACCGAGTAGTTGAAGTGTGGGCTCGGGACCACAGTCGCAGGGGCCATCAAGCTCAACTGGCATAACATACTACACAAAACATCGTGCCACCTCCTACTCTGGCGAGTAGCGACTGGGATCTTAAAAACTTGCAAGCAGTCATCTAGATGCAACGATGGGTCTCTCCTCACCCAGAGCAAAGAAGAATGAAGAAAACCAAAAATTCATGGAAACAATTATTCCTTGTGACTGGTACACCATGTGATCCTCAGCCTATATGACTATGAGACCAGAACTAGATGATGCCCAGCTACCATTATCAACCACTTGGAGGGTGGTCTATGTAGGAGATCCTGGATAGAGAGGGAGAATAATATGGAACAAAACTCAAAATCATGTGGGGGAAAAAAAAGTGGGGACCAGGTTTGCTGCTCTGATAGAGCCTGGTGGAACCACAGACTATGGTCCCTAGCTGACCTTCAGGTCTGGAAGTGAACCCACATCTGTGGCTTCCAGCCAAACAAAAGACAGGCATAGGAGTTGAACATTTACCTGAGGTAGATACACTCCTTGGAGAGAACAATCAAGGGAGAAAGAAGGGCTGTTCATACACAGGGAGACAGTTCAGGGGGCAGGAGTGCATAGAGAGATGGGAAGAGGTAACTATCAGGAGGAAGTAGGAGGGGAGCTGTTGCACTGGGCTAAATTGTAGTCAATGTCTTGAGACAACATGTGTGTGTGAACTGCTGTATGGAAAGTGAATTTGCTCTGTAAACTTTCACCCAAATCACAACTAAAAAAAAAAAAAAGAAAGAAAAGAAAATGGAAGGAATACACTGAGTCACTGTACCAAAAATAACTGGTTAATGTTCATCCATTTCAGAAGGTGAAATATGATCAAGAACCAGTAGTATGGAAGGAAGAAGTCAAACTGCACTGAAGGAACTGGCAAAGAACAAGGCTCCAGGAATTGATGGAATACCCACTGAGATGTTTCAATAAATAGATGACCCGCTAGAGGCACTCACTTGTCTATGCCAAGAAATTTGGAAGAGAGCTACCTGGCCAACTAACTGGAAGAGATCCATATTTGTACCCATGCCAAAAAAAGGTGATCTGACAGAACATGGAAATTATGGAAAAGTATCCTTAATATCACATGCAAGTAAAATCTTCCTGAAGATAACTCAAAAATGGTTGCAGCAGTATCTGGACAGAGAACTCCCAGAAAAGCAAGCTGGACTCAGAAGAGGATGTGGAACGAGGAATATCACTGCTAATGTCCAGTGGATCTTGGCTGAAAGCAAGGAATACTAGAAAGATGTTTAGTTGTATTTTATTGATTATGCAAAAGCATTCAATTGTGTGGATTATAAAAAATTATGGATAACATTGAGAAGAATGGGAATTCCAGAACACTTCATTGTGCTCATGAGGAACCTGTATATACACCAAGAAGATGTCGTTCGAACAGAACAAAGGGATATACTGCATGGTTTAAAATCAGAAAGTGAGTAAGTCAGGGTTGTATCCTTTCACTATACATATTCAATCAGTATGCTGAGCAAGTAATCTGAGAAGCAGGACTATATAAATATGGGATCAGGATTGTAGGTAGACTCATTAACAATCTGTGATATGCAGACAACACAACTTTGCTTGCTGAAAGGGAAGAGGATTTGAAGCACTTACTGAAGAAGATTAAAGACTACAGTCTGCAGTATGGATTATATCTCAACATAAAGAAAACAAAAATCCTCACTGGAGCAATAATCAAAATCATAAGTGGAGAAAAGACTGAAGCTTTCAAAGATTTCACATAACTTGGTTCCACAATTAACACCAATAGAAGCAGCAGTCAAGATTTCAGACGATGTACTACACTGGGCAAATCTGTTGCAAAAGACCTCTTTAAAGTGCTGAAGAGCAAACAGCAAAGATTTCTCTTTGAAGACTAAGGTGCACCTAACCCAAGCCATGGTATTTTCAATCACCTCATATGTAGGTGAAAGCTGGACAATGAATAAGAAGACCAAAGAAGAGTTGATGCTTTTGCCTTGTGGTGTTGGCGGATACTGAAAGTACCATGGACTGCCACAAGAATGAACAGACCTGTCCTGGAAGATGTGCAGCCAGAATGTTCCTTGGAAGCGAGAATGGCCAGACTTCATCTCAACTACTTTGGTTATGTTGTCAGGAAGGACTATTCCCTAGAGAAGGATGGCATGCTTGGTAAAGTGGAGGGTCAATGAAAAAGGGGAAGGGCCTCAGTGAGATGGATTGACACAGTGGCTGCAATGACAGGCTCAGGTATAACAAGGATTGTGAGGTTAGCACAGGACTGGGCAGTGTTTGGTTCTGTTGTACATAGGGTCACTATGAGTTGGAGCTGACATGATGGCACCTAACAACAACAACAGTCTCCTAAACTGTGATAAATGTTTGCTAAAGCCATCACTTATGGAATTGTCTTGGTCTGACAACCAAGACAATGTGTACTGATAAAGAAAGAAATGATGCTCTACCTCATTCTTACTTAAAGAAATTCAAAAAGAGACTACCCACCCCCCATCAGATTTGTTGTTCTTGTCAAGTGCCGCTGAGTCAGATCCAACTCATAGCAACCCCTCCTTGGGTTTCCGTGGCAGTGTTACTCTGGAAGTAGATTGCCTAACCTTCCTTCAGAGGAGTGGCTGGGGGAGGGGGTTAGTAGTTAAGTGCCTTAGGCAATACGCTACCATAGCTCCTCCCATCAGATTAGCAAGTTAAAAAGTTTAAAAATTGCATTTCTGGTGCGATTGTGGAAAAACAAGCATGTACTTACATGTGGGTATGTAACTATTTCCCTTTTGGAAAACAATTTTACATTATCTGTCACAATGATAAATCATATATCCTATTACCCTATAGCTTTAGTGCTAGAAATTCACCCTAGAGATGTATTTGTAGAAAGAGGCCAAGACACATGTACCATGACTTTCACTGCATTATCTGTATTAACAATAAAATGCAAACAACAAACACCCACCAACAAGGGATGATTAAGTAACTGATGGTACAACCAAACAGTGGCATATCAGGCAGCCATTTAAAAAGAACCATGGACCCATATATGCTTATATAGAAAGATTAAGACAGAACAGCTGAAAAAATGATTGTGCAAAGCAGTATATACAGTCTCTCTTTGGCGTTGTTATTTTATTTTAAAGGATCTCCACACCCCGAATCGACATCCACATAAAAGACTTTCCCAATGTCCTGGGTTCATCTGTTCCCTTTCACGGCAATACTTACCCAAAAAGTTATCTATATTTGGTGTCTGTTATTTCCCATTCATTCTCAATCTATTTAAACTGGCTCTCTCCCTTACATCTCTTTGAAAACTACAACCATCAATGATTTGTATGTTTCCAAATCCAATGGCCATTTCTCTATTTCCAACTTACTTCTCTGAATCATCTAACAATGGACTACTCTTTTCCTCTTGAAACATTTATCTCTAGCTGAACTTCTAAATTTTGGAGTCCTGAGTCTTATTAACTTTTCTATTTATACTTTAAAGGTGCTCTGGTGGCACAGTAGTTAAGGCCATTTGGCTGCTAACCAAAAGGTTGGTGGTTCGAACCCAGCAGCTGCTCCATGGGAGAAAGATGAGGCAGTTTGCTTCTGTAAAGATTTGTAGTCTAGGAAATACCTATGGGCAGTTGTGCTCTGTTCTATAGGGTCACTATGAGTCAGAATCAACTTGATGGCAGTCATTTTTTTTTTTTATACTTTCGTCTTGGGCAAGATCAGTCCCATGGTTTTAAATACCACTGACATGCTAACCACTTCCAAATTTATAGTTTCAGCCCTCATCTCTCCCATGAGTTTCACACTAGAAAATCCAACAGTCAGACATCTTCACTTAACTGAACTTCTGGTTTTTTAATCTCAAACCTGTGACTTCCATAGTTTTCTCTCATAAATGCTACAAATACATGGAGTGCTCATGGCCAAAACTCTAGAGAAATCCTTGATTATACCCTCTTCTGGACCATTCACATCAAATCCATTGAAAAGTCTCACAGATTCTCCTTAACACCCTACACTCTGCATCTGGCTCTTGCCTCCATGACAAAATGGCACAACTGGCCCCTCCCAACCCCTGTAAGGGTGACAACATCCTACCTAGCCATATAAGGTTCTGTTCTCCATCTTTCAAGTTCTTTGTACATTTTGATCTGATAATTTATAAGGTATGACCCTTCTTTTGGGCATGTAATACTATATAGTACAAACTAGATTACTCTAAAAAATACCTCTTATAATTCTTTGCCTGTAATTTTCTAAAAGCAGATGCCTATAGGACCAGGAGCTCTGGTAGCATAGTGCCTAAGGCACTTGACTGCTAACCAGAAGGCTGGCGGTTCAAACCCACCAGCCACTCCTTGGAAGGAAGATGGGGCAATCCATAGTGATACTGCCTCAGAAACCCAAGGAGGGGTCGCTATGGGTCGGGGCCGACTCCATGGCACATAACAACAACAACAACACAGGACCCTACAGCTGTTGGTAGTTATTGACAAAGTGTCTTACCCTCTTCTTCCCAGGCTCAGAAGCACGAGTGTCATAATCATCAGGGAGCTGGAGATAATCCTCCATTCGGCTGGCAATCGCCTCCCAGTCACGCTTCCTTTTAGTGCCAGTCCTCAAGCCATCCAACTTGTCTGGGGGACAAACACAGAGCCGTAGCATTAAGGAACAGTGTGAGCTTGCACAAAACACAAAAACAAGGGAAAAGCTGGAACACTTCAGAGGGCACATCCACATTTTTGAGAGCAGCATCACTTGCAGATCCGAAGTGTCTTCTTGGCTGAGATAGTATCAAGTTCTGCACAATTTCCATGGTTTATTTGATGTTCATACTGGCAGCCATTATAGTGTTGGTGTAAGAACAAATATGGGCAAAGGCAAGAAAAGACACTGGTCTCCCATCCTTTTTCCTCAACCTTCCAAAATCACAGCATATCAGCTCTTATGTTCTGAAGGAAAACGCAAAGTTGTTTTTTTCTAAGAACAATTTATTCTCTTCTTCTTCTTCTTCTTTTTTTTTTTTTTAAACACAGTATTAGCACCACTCATTTGATCTGCAATCCTTTGTGATACTGTGTCACATAAAAGCAGATAGTACCAAGAACACAATGGGTAAGGCTAATATTTAGGAAAGTTTTAGATTAATAGTTTCTATTGAACAGAATCTCAGGATTTTAGCTCCTGTGAGAGAATTCACCATGAGTTAATTTTTATGAATAAACTCTGTACAAGATCACTACTATTTTTTGGTTATACTATGAAGTGCTGTTGACCATTCTGAGAAGAAAGACTAGTCAGCCAAAGTGACTAGATTTGAATTTTCTTATTGAACCCTCTATATGAGAGGGCTAGGCTTTCCAAGGGCCCCAAACTATAATCAATTAAATACACAGGAATTGCTGATTCAGAAATTATAAGTTTAGATGTTTTTAAGAACACGCAATGAGAATGTGTTGCTTTTTTCATTTGTTGTCAATACTTATTTTGAATGCTAAAAGTGCAATATTATGAGTTACATTTTACATATACATATATTCTAGCCACTTTAAAGCACTAAACTTTAGATCATCTGAAGTTATAGAAACACATGATTATTAAGCCTAAAATAAAGGAAAGCCTAAAATCTTTTGAGACACACAATGACCATATTCCATCAAACTCCATAAAGGCATGTACAGAATAGAACTCTTTTAGACACCAAGTTGGAAGGACTTGATATGATAGGAGAAGTGCAATGGAAGTAGTGGTAGGAGGGAAGGTGAGTTTATGTTTCAAATAGAAAAGCTGCACACACAGCTAACAGTATCCATACCATACAGACTTCAAAAATAGGTAGGATTTTACGTACTTGGCAAAGCTTTTATTTCCTAAATCTCCCCATCCCCCCAAAGAAGCAATATAATTGAAAAATCAGTACGACAAAGTACATTTTACAGAAGTCAAAATTTATCATCCCACTTTGGCAAAATCTTAACATAGACAGCTTCAACAGAAAGAGTCTTCTAATCTCCTCCATCAGTCAGTCATATGTTGTACCACATGGCTCTATCTACACATACATGACGGGTCATGTTACATAAGCTCTTCAAGAAGTAGCCCCTTGACTGCACAGAGACACAAGATTTGGTATTAGAAAAGCAACAAATCCCACTACCAACACAACCATTCTCAGTTCAACGTGTACAATGTTACCAGAAGAGTAGGATGGGAAGCACCAACACACTTATTAAGTAAATCCCAAAGGATTTTCAAACTTCTTAAGATCAGCTTTGACATTAACATACGTCACAGAGAAAATTTCATACTTTAATTCCAAGAACAGAGCATGGCCAGGAAGCAATGCAGAAGGGCAATGGGTGTGAAAACGGTAAGGACGTCGGAAGTTCCCTATGGGCAACAGGGAGGTTGGCAAGAGTGTGTATTTCTAGTCTGAGCATCCCTGTTTGAATGCTGAGCTTGAAACTTAATTGTGCTTTAACATGTTCAAAGTTTCGTCCGTGAGGCTGAAGAAAGGCTCACGCCTCTTCCACATGGCATCCTGAAAGCCCAAATGCACAGACGTATGACATGAGAGGTGAGGGAAGAGAGCTCTGTGGTGTTAAGGGCAGTAGGAAGAATGGTGTTCAACACATTCATACCAATGATTTTCAGAGGGTTGAGTTTCAAAAGATGAATTTTTAATATGAAGTTTTAGATATCCAACTTGGTAGGTCACAGAATTTTACATCTTCAAAATAGTACATATCTTTATAGCACAACAGAAGAAATTCTTTAGAACATCTATTTATACTGTACCCATAAACTGTATTTCTGAAAATCTGTTCAAAGTGAACATACAAGGGTCATGTGCCTAAACTAATAAAGTTACATGCCAGCTGTGAAGAGATGAATCTACTGGACACAAAGACAACTCAATTTGTGCTTATAAGCTGTGTGTATTATTCTCACTTAAAGAGAACTATCCACACAACTCAGGAGCACAGGCAAAGGATACTGAGGTGAGAAAAGCAAAAGTTCTTGCTATGGAGAAATCTACATTGGGATGGGTAAGAGCCTCCAATATTTCAGTCCTCACAGTTTGATAAACTACAATCACATCATTGGAACTTAGTGGCTTCAAGGCTGAATCCCAGTATCTGATGCATTATATAACCCCCCCACACACACACATCGAAGTGCCCATGTCCCGGCTGCACAGAAGCCAGCCGGGCAGACTGAAAGCAGGCCACCGACGGCCTATAACAACTCCATGACGCCATGTCAAGTGCAGTGCAAGCAGGTTCTGAACTGTATACTGTACCTAACGAGCATAGATCGAGAAGTCCACAATGAGATTTCTCCAGCTGCATGAAAGGCTACAGTTAAGTGAGTGTTTCCTTACTGGCAGGTTCATTTGTGAACGAGAATTTCTCAGCTTCAGACTCATTAAGCTGGGTGGAGATGCACTAGGCTGTAGCCTAACACGTCTCTACCCAGCATAATGATGCTACCAAGAATAATGGCAAGAATGGAGAATGCTGACAAAATACACAGAAAAATAAACTGTACCTGGTCATCAAACATACAAGATTTGTTATGATAAAGGAAAGCAAAATAAATAGGCTAGTTCTTGGATGTAAAATCCTTACATTTCAGAGAAGAATCTTGTCATCTGAACAGCTCCACGGACGAACCTCAAAGAAGTAAGTGCTATCAAGAATACTCATACTCAATTTGCCCTCCTCTATAGCAGGATAAGCTCTTATATGATGCAAGTGGTATGAGATAAAAGTTATTATATAAAGTATCACTGTTATTCTTATTAAAAACCCAATTGCAAACATGTCAGAACTTATTTTCCAGTTCATTACCAGACCTTCAGTGCCTTTAATTGAAATTATTTACTTAATAAATCGATTTCTGGAATTAACTGTCTAACTTTGTCTTCAAAATCGACTGAATTTGTATAAAATGTATTTTCTGAGAAGCAAATGGCAGACAGGCCAGATGTTTTTCCAGAAACCAACACTAAATTCAACACCATATTTGCATAAATACCAGAAGGCTGGCGGTTCAAACCCACCAGCCACTCCTCGGAAGGAAGGTTGGGCAATCCTACTTCCGTAGTGATACTGCCTCAGAAACCCAAGGAGGGGTTGCTATGAGTCGGGCTGACTCGACGGCACATAACAACAACAACAATTTGCATGAATAATCATTTTCCTTTCTCTTTCAAAAGAAAAAGTAGAAAGTGGACTAGCCAAAATTTAAAAAAGCATCACCCCAGATCATGTATTATACAAGGATTCCAAGGACTATATGCTAAACATTTATCACTTTTACAATTCCCTTGTCTATCTTTATTTATGATCTCTCTTTTTGCCCCAAAAGATAACCACTATTTTGAAAACCAGAAAAGAGAAAAATGATTTTACAGCCTTACAGGGTAATCTAAAATACAGAACTATAAGCAGACTCAATCTCATGTCAAAATAAGCAGGTCTAAAGCATTATCATTTAAAAAAGTAATCTGTGATTGATTGTTCTATAATATTTAATTGCATTTAAACATTTATGAATATTTAAAGGTCCAACAAAGGAGATTGTTGGTTATTATTAAGATTTCTCACAGAGGAAAGAGCAATAGAAAAATATGTCAGTAACTACATGTAATTTTCACATGATGTACATTAGAAAAAAAATTCAGAGTTTATAACAAAGCATTTACTCCAGTAATACATACTATATATATAGTAGAGAGTTTATGGAACTATCTTTGAACATAGGACCCAGTCAACAACTGCTAACATAATCAATTGAGCAAAACTAAAGGTAAAGCCTTTGCAACTGTAAGTAAAATGTACCCTCTGTTGTCAGGGTGCAGACAACATGGCGTGTAGCAATGCAGCTAAATGACTCAAACATTTCTATGAACTACTGATGGTTACTTCCGTTTCAGAATAATAGCATGTTACCAGGAAGAGAAACACAGAGATTGAGAGTCATACTTCACATATCAATGAGCCCAATCTTCTCAAAAAGATCTTAACATATTTTCTTAGATTTTTATTAATACATCTTAATCAATAGGTTAATTAGTTCTCTTTAAGTGAGGACCAGGGGGAAAAAAAAAATCACTGAAAAGTGTGTCATCACCATGAGAATGAGATACTGGAGGAAAATCCACTGGATATGTATGATTTTCTGCTTAATAGGTAACCTCAGATCAAGCAACTCCACAATTTTTTATTTAAATAATGATTTTAACTGGTTCATCTGGCAACCTAGCACTAAAGACAACTTAAAAGAAAATTTAAAAGGAATCCTTAAAAGCAGCCTCCTCAAAATCTTGAATTATATAGCTAGCTCTCCTACTCAGAAATGCTCGTTTATTGTATTATGAAAATAAATGCCTTTTAATAAATTTTAAAACTTTAATGCTTTAATATTTATTATTATCATCATCCAAAGTATTCATAATTGGGTTCGATACTGGATTGCAGTTAACATTTTTTCTAAAAAAGCAGGAATCTTATCAGCAGCAACATTTCTGATTTATATAAAAAATGGATTTTAGAAGTGACAGTATTTTATTACTAACTTTATCACATATTTCTGTTTAAATGGTATTAAAGGTAGTTCTTTCTGAAATATTATTCTTTTTACTCTCTGTCACAAGATATAAATATAATTAAACCAGAAGCTAGCAAAATAGATTGGCGGATGTAAGGTAGGCCAAAATTCTTGGTTTAAGTAAGATTTCGGACAATCTACTCTTCTTACAGAAGAGCTATGACCGTTACCATGAGGTATCACATATAAAAACAGGAAAAAGGAAATACCCACCTAGCTTTGCCTCAGATGTGTCCATCTCCCATTTGCTTTTCGGAATGTAACCCTAAATCGTACACAGAGAGAAGCTCGAAGGGTTAGAAAGAGACACATACATGCACATCACTTTTGAACTGGAAAAGCATTAAAACTGGGAATGGATTCAGTTTCCACTCACTAGTTATAAACTTATAGGGAAAGCACAGTCTCAGTATCTCTGAAGAAACTAAATTACCAAATTTACCAAACTGGATTGCCCAGATTTCAGAGCAGTCACTTAAGAATAGAATCATGAAGGCGCTTTGAGGCAGCTACAATTCAGGACTCACAATTGTAGACTGAACAACAGCTGGACAGTAAATATGATAAGAATGTACAAGTAGTTACTGTACTGATATTAAAATCATTTGGAGCAGCACAGGATTTATACCAGCTAGGTTATTCTTTAAATACAATGCTATTCTCAAGTGATGGTAACCATGAGGTCCAAAGAGTATTTTTCAAGAGTTACCTTATATTCCACTATAATTTTAAATACTCAAAAGAAAGGAGAAAACTTGGTTATCACTGAGCCCAACTATAAAGTTCAACCTCCTTTTAAAAAGACTCAATCCATTTATCAGTCAGATCTTACAAAGGCTAATTCTACTGAATCAATTTCACAGCATTTCTCTGATCACTTGGAAATTAGGTTATTGTTTCTGATATCTTTTAAAATTATGCTTTCCTATTATATGAAAATCCAGGTATTTCCACAGGCAACTTATATCTTACGTTAAATAAAATAACTGCGTGATGTATTTCAAACAAACTCCCACATGGTTTTCAATTTCCAATGCACCTACTGAACTATGCAGTAATCCTTTCCATTCATTCACCTAGCAAACGGATGCTTTTCCATGGGATTGAGATTTTCCCTTTTCCTTAATTAGGACTCTGTTTCTATTAATCCCTAACATAACATACAGGAGCTTTAATATTAAGATTTATTATATAGAAACTTATTATATAGATACTGATTCATCCTAGGTGTCAGTATCTTCTTTTAAGAATCAGTATATTCCTTTACCGTTGGGAATGTTCAAGTTCACAGAACAGACTAGCACACAGGTAAGTCAGACAGTATGTTGAAGGCTTCATGGCCGTAACTTCTGTGTAAGAATCTTCTATGGTATCGTCATCCTTCCAGGTAACCTACAGTTTTTATATATTTCTAATCTTTAAGGCATAACTAATCATTCAATTTCAACTCAGTAGATAGGTTATAAATTACAGCATCTTTTTCAAATTGATTTTGAGAATAAACCAAGCCAAACTATGCTGAAGTAATGGTGCTAAAAGCATCAATCAAATTTGTTCAAGTCACATCACAAGAATCATCTGAAAACCTTAAACATCACTAGAATAATACATTTATAAACTCTGAGTCAGATCTTTCAGGTTCACTGAAGTACTAAAGAAGGCAAAGCATCATACCCATAATCTCCTAAAAGGGTTCACCCAGCTGTGTTAATCAGGACAGAGTAGAAAATGCAAAGTTTACTGAGAATCCCATTAAAATGGTTAGAATGACATGAAACTTGCTCTTAACTCTTTGGTTAAAATTCTCCAAGAATCTTTTACTCTTGGAATAGACCCCAACAGTAGAAGATCTGGATTCTCAATCTCTGAATAAGTTAAGAGAAGTTTTATAAACATAAAGATAAATAAAATGAATGTATTCATTTCCCCTGCTGGAACCACCCTGTTCTTCCTTAAAACCCCATTATCCTCCCGCTGCACTTTCAAAATGGTAGGCCATTTGGAAATAGAAGAGATAGTCCAGTAGGGTAGGGTTCTTAGACTTCCTTGCCAGGCCTCTCATGTAAAAATATAGTATTACAGCGTGTTTTACTTTTTAAAATTAAAAGGTACATTCAATTAAAAATTCCAAGGTTTGACCTTTACCTAAGAAAGTCAGATGTTAAGAACCATTTCCTGAACTGAAATCTCCACAAAAGAAGATGAAGCTTTAGAAAGCTGAAAGTTTATAAACTCCTCACATGACTTTATAGCACACACAGTGTGAGTAGTTAAACAAGTCGTTAGCCACATTCCAGAACAGCGTGGACCTGTACGTGAATTTTCTGTCTACATTTTAGATCACATATCAAAACACAACTTAAAAAATAACTTTGTTTAAGAAAAAAATACTGAGACTCAAATGGCATTAATTTGAAAGCTTATTTTTTTTTAATCCACATTTGAAATCTAGGCATAGGCATGTAGAGGTTGACGCCATTTCTACATAAACACAGTTTCTATCAAGAGTCCTCCATATCACACATGGTTTGAGTGGACCACTCCTTAGAGACTCTGTATACTCTATGGGGTAGGAATTAGGGTCTCGTTTTGTACATTTTCAGAAGAATATGAGAAGCAGCTTTAGCAAGGGCTGGGATATGAAATAAACTGAGCATTATTTTAGATAAAAGAAGCAACACTATTTCAAGGCATTGCAGATCTCTGTACTCATTAGCAAACACTGAAAAGTCAACATAATTCTACAGGTCACATATTATTGAATGACAGGGTAAGGCAAACATTTCTACAGAGGTATGATAAAAAGCATTTACAGCAGGTACAAGGGAACTTTGAAAGCATACTACGTAAGTCTCTAATCAGTCTGAGCAAAATCCATTGCCTACAGAGTCAAATCACTTAACAGGATAAAATGCAGAAGAAAAATCCAGCAGTAAGTGCCAACTCTGCTCCTCATTCAGTAACAGTTCTTCTGCCTCAGTTGACAGAAACTGTTAATTTGGATATACTGCAGCAAAGATGAGCAATTATACATTGTGTGTAGGCTGCACCACATACCTGCTGGAATGTAAAAATGTTCTCTCATATGTAATTGATTTTCTTGAAAAATAATTACCCCTAAAACTACCTACAAATAGATAAGTGTGTACAAGGGTTAAATTTCTCAGCACTATGTTAAAATTTTCTTTCAACAATACAGTAGAGGATCTTTTTGGTCTAGAGAAAAATCATGGAAACTTTCACCATCAAAAGGTGTATCAAAATAGCAGATACGAATTTTAAACAATACCCTTAAGAATTTTAATAAAGAGACACTCTGTTCAAAGTGGTTGGTCTGTCTCCTACCAGTTCGCTTTCCTCTTCCTCTGCATCTTTCTTTTCTTCTTTCTGTTCTTCAATGTTTGCATCAAAATCTTCCATCTCTACCTACACCCCCCACATAATTAAAAAAAAAAAAAAAATTGAATTAACGGTTAGGAAAATGTCGAGTCCCTCACTGAGATCTGGAAGGAGCAGTTGCCCAGAGCAAAACATCACAGATTCACTGCTACATCCCACGTAATTTTAAAACCCTAAATTTTGAAACAGAGCTGGTAAAAGAACAATATTCCAGCCTTTTATCTCCCCAGAACAGCTATCTTTATAATTCCTATAGCGTTTATATGATGCTCTGCTCTGGGTAGATGTTCACCTGTTTTGAATGTCTGTGGGTTACTAGGATTTCTTTTTAAAACCTTTAAAAATTATTTTTCTATCAGATAAAACATACATATGATTCCAATTTAAAAACGTAAGGAAGGGTATACTGAAAATAAGATAGTGGCTCGGCCCAGAACGACAGCAATAGTAATACAAAAGTAGATGGATTAGAGAATTATTTACAAGCTAAAACTGACAAAACATGTAGACTGACTACATGATGGAGGGACAGAGGCAGAAGCTGGAATAAGAGCAAAGAGTCAGGGATAACTCCTAGATTGTTGGCTTCAGCAACCAAATGACTAGTGGCTCTAATCACTAAAACAGAGAATAGCAGAAGAGGTATGGGTTTAGATAAATTATATTTTTGATACTTCCAATTTGAGATGTATTAAGGTAATATATAGGAGCTCTGGTGGCATAGGGCCTAAGGCATTTAACTGCTAACCAGAAAGCTGGCGGTTCAAACCCCCCAGCCACTCCTCAGAAGGAAGGTTGGGCAATCTACTTCCATAGTGATACTGCCTCGGAAACCCAAGGAGGGGTCGCTATAAGTCGAATCAACTCGGCAGCAGTGAGTTTGTTTTTTTGGTAAGGTAACATATGTTTTTTGTAGATAATTTGGAAAATAAAGGTAGAAACAATTATAAAAACCACACAAAATCCCTCCAGCTGGATATAACTACTGTTAAGATATCGATATAATTCACTCCAATCTTGACAGTTTAATATTAAGAGCATGTAAGTGACAATTAAATCTATTAGAAAGATTCAGATTATCTATTAGAAAGAAAATAGGGCCTAGGACAGATACAGCCCTAAAGAGTTTCAACATTTAAGGACTGCGTAGTGTGAAGACCCAGTGCAAGAGACTGAAAAGGCATGGCCAGAAAGGTCAGAGAATCCAGGTCTGTGAGAACCAGAAGATGTGAACTCACAGAAACCAAGAGAAAAAGATGTTTATGAGAAAGTGAGTGTGGTCAATTATGTCAAGTGTGGCTGCAAAATTACTTAACAGCAGACTTGAGAATTGTCCATTGTCATGGAAGTCATTGGGTAGAGAATCTCTGGATAATGGTGGAGGCAAAAGGCAGAAGGAAATGGGTTGAGGAGTGGCCCAGGAGGTAAAAAACAATGAACACACTGAGTATACATGACGTACTCACGGGACACGGTCAAAGGAAACAGAAGCACACAACTGATCAAAATATAGAATCTCTCCTTTTTCATGATAGAGGGTTACTTCCACCAAACTAATAATTGGTTCAGACAAGAATTATCAACGGGTGAGAATCTTAGGGAACAGGATATTTACAGTCTCAAAAGTATCTCCCTACAGATTACCTATTAGAAAGGGAAAAGGGTACCTTTACAGCAGAAAAATCTGGCAGACACCACTGTAACTAAGTGAGACAAACTGCTAGCATATGGCTCCAGGTGTGAAGCACTGAGTACACATCAATTATGCAGTATTCCTACTAACACGTAACCTAAATCTAATCATATGAAAAGAGTCAGACAAACCCAAATCAAGGAGCATTCTACAAGACAACTGGCCTATATCCTTCAAAAATCCTTTGTTTATCTTCAAAGAAAATGACATAGCTCAGAAACTATTTTAAAGAATTGGATCCTGATTTTTTTTTTACAAAAAGGTATAAAGCACATTATGGGGACAGTTTGTAAAATCTGAATATGGACTGTGCATGAAATAATTCAAGAAATTTACATTATTTAATAAAGTATCAATGTTAAATGTTATCAATTTGATAACTGACTTCCAGCTTAGTAATTTCTTTGCTTTTAGGAGATACCTGTTAAGCTATTTGGTGGTGAAGGGTTACCTCTAAAATTGTTAACAAACAAAGACCAAACCTACTGGCATCAAGTCAATTCTGACTCACAGCAAACCTACAGGGCAGAGCAGAACCACTCCACAAGGTTTCCAAGGCTTTGTATCTTTACAGAAGTAGGCTGCCTCATTTTTCTTCCTGGAGTGGCTGGTGGATTTGAACCACCAACCTTTTAGTTAGCAGCCAAATGCTTTGACCACTGTACCACCAGAGTTCCTTCTAAAATTGTTATACAATAATAATGATAAAAGTAATAGTTATAAGAAGAATGTATATCTACATAGAGAAAAAGCAAATGTGGCAAAGTATTAATAACTGGTGAATCTCGATGAAAGAGGGGCAGGTGTTCACTATACTCTTTATGCAACTTTTCTGTAGGTTTAAAATGTTTCAAGGTGAAAAGGCACTGCATTCGAGCCAAAGGACACTCACCTCTTCAATAGCAGCATCTTGTAGCAAAGAACGAATGTCTAGACGCATCATGTGACGAGGTGCAGTTTCCCAGTGATCAGCCATCTAATGAGAGATTTAAGAGGTCAAGTTATCTCCAGAAACTACTCAAATAAAGACTAAGTGAGCATCAAATAGAAATTTAACTAATACACTTACTCCTCACTTATTAACAATCTTATTATCCAACATTCTGCGTTTACAACAGTAAAAAAATCTATTTTGTGATTTAATGATGTGTGTCTGGCAGTAATGAATGCCCACGTAAAAGGTGAGAATAACACTGACTGTGATGGTTAAGGTTATGTGTCAACATGGCTGGGTTATGATTCTCAGGAGCTTGGCGGTTATGTAATGATGCAGTCTTCTTCCATTTTGTGATCAGATGTGGTCATCCTCCATTTTCACACAATGCCGATTTTCATATAATGAACTAGTCTTTGGGACCTAACCATGTTAGTAAGGGAAGAATGGGCATACTGTGAAGTCTAGCAGGCCAGGTCCAGTAACAGCTATGCCACTCCTTTCACTTACATGTGAAGGAAAAGAAACATTTATTAAAGCAGGTAGAAAAGATATTCTGAAAGAAAATGGGACAGACACAAGCTTCCAGACAACAGAGGTGGTACAGATGAAATGAAGCTGAGGACATTCCACCATTCTGTTTCCAAAAATCACCTTATTTATTTCTTTAAGCTTTCTTCCATGAATATTTCTCTTGCCACAAGTCTGGTTATCTGCACTCATTTCAGCCAAATATACCTTGGAAAGAATTAACAATGATTAGGCAAACAAACACAATATTACAGGACAATACAAAGTGTTTTAAAGTTCCTTTAGGTATGTACCTCAAAACCCTTGGTTTTTGCTGCACTCCAAAACTGGTCAAAATGCCTAACTCTGTCATTGATAGCATCCAGGATGATGAACGGGAAAAAGCCATCATCTAGAGTCTTTTTGAAAGTTTTGAACATGCTGGTGCGGTAGGTCTCCTCCATCTCGGCTTCATATTCATATTCCATTACCTAAGATCCCCCAAAAGAGACTGAGAGTTAGCAAAGGCGAGAAATCACCCCAAACCTCCTCCACAGATAGCATCTGGATAAAGATGACTTCGTAGTCTTTCCTTCTCTCCTGAGTTTTAAAGTTTATATTAAAAAAAAAAAAGTTCTCTTTTGTCTCCAGAAGAGCCACATCTCCCTCTGAGCATGTTTCCCTTTAAATACTATTAATGAATTGGGATGCAATCTGAGAGGAATATACCATACCTTCTTTTTCACTTTCTTTCCAGAATCTGGATCTTTTTCTTCTTTTTCTACTTCAGTGATGAAGTAATCATCCAGGCTTAGCACTCTGGGTGCAGGACCTCCAAATTCTACCTCCTTATCCTAAGAATCATACCGTCAAAGAGGTTAAAGAGAATTTATGGGAAAAATCAATGAATGTTAATCACTGTTCCCTCTAATGACTGAATAACAACCTTTTGGTGGTTTCAAACCAAGCAGAGGCAACAGTATGTGTCCAAGGTAAAAATTTTTATGGGTAGCCTCTATCACATGGACCAACCAGAACAAGATCAGATGGGAAATATCTGTATCAATATCATGCTGCTAAAAGGCAAGCAGCCAACAAAAGCAACTGATTCTCTGGCTTTCTTATACTCACTCGAATGAGTTTTGCAACATGTGTTTTTCCACTGCCAGGCAATCCTCTCATTATAACAACAATCTGCAATACAATGGAACAACAACAAATGAAGACCACTCAGAGAGGATTTTTCACAATAACTTACCAATTAAACATATATAGAGTAAAAAAATCTGGCTGAAACCTCCAGTACTAGTTTATTCAAACGGAATCTAGTTATTTTACAATATAAGACAAATTTAAAAATGTATAGTTCACCAGTAAAATAAGCCTAAGTTAACCAAGTCTCATACCTCTTCTTTTTGTTCCATACCCCACAAAACTAAAGCTACTTCTTATCTTCTTGAAAATGCAATTAACTGAGACCCTATAAATTATTTTTTAAAGTTTTCAACATCTTTTTTTGCCAAGCAACTAAGTTCTAACTTCTTACAGATTCTAATGAGTAGATAGGTCATGAGATTTCGATTTTATGATGACATGGTGATGGTATGAGGTCTTGAATTTGATATTAACACTGTGTTATAGAAAAGCAGAGAAACTGTGTTCAGGATATTTAAAAAAATCTTTTAGCTTCTGATTTGCAAGAAAACTGGTCAATTTCATACCATTTGATCCAGCCATTCCATTACTAGGTATATATCCTAAAGAAATGAGAACCAGAACAAGAACAGATATATGCACACCCATGTTCATCATAGCACTATTTACAATAGCCAAAAGATGCAAACAACCGAGATGTCCATCAACAGAAGAATGGATAACCAAACTATGATACATACACACAATGGAATACTATGCAACCCTAAAGAAAAACGTAGAATCTGCAAAACATCATATAATGTGGATGAACTTGGAGGACATTAGGCTGAGTGAAATAAGTCAATCACTGAAGGACAAGTACTGTATTAGTCTGTTATTGTAAAAAGTCAAGGAAAGGTTTATATATGGAAGAAAATTTTCTTTGTTGGTTACCAGGAGTGGAAGGGAGGGGAGGGAACACTGTTAGGTAGAGACAAGTATCGATTCGCGTGAAGGGAAAGGCAATGTACCAAATGTGAGTGATCAACACTGGTGGCACTGAGGAAGAAGAAAACATAGAGAGGTGCATGGGAGGTACAGACAACAAAAATGAACCCTTTTGCACATACAGCACTGCATTGTCAGTGAAGGCAAACATGGATATACAGGTGGATAGGTGGGTAGACAAGCTGAACTATTAGGTATGTCTACGCAGGGGGGAGTGTGCCCAAGACCATATATAGGATTGGCAGATGATGCTTCTACAAGTGCATTGGTATGTTCCAGTTAGAACTGGTAAGAATTTCCAGGTATATAGTAGAGCTGATAAGGGACAAAGTTGTAGCCACTTCTTGGCCATAGCCAGTTACCCAGAGGGAGCGAATAGTTGGACCTGTGTGCTCAGGACCACAGTTGCAGGGGGACACCATTGGCATAACACACTACACAAAACAATGTTCCACATCCTACTTTGGTGAGTAGCAACTGGGATCTTAAAAGCTTGCAAGTGGCCCTCTAGATGCAAGAATGGGTCTCTCCTCATCCAGAGCAAAGAAGAATGAAAAAAACCAAAGATTCATGTAAACAATTAGTCCAAGTGACTGGTACACCATGCGATCCTCAGCCTATATGACTATGAGACCAGAACTAAATGGCACCCAGCTCCCACTGTCACCACTCAGAGGGGATTTGTGTAGGAGATTCTGGATAGAGAGGGAGAACGATGTGGAACAAAACATAAAATCACTGGGGGAGAAAAAAAAGGGACCAGGTCTGCTGGTCTGTCTGATAGAGCCTGATGGAACCACTGAGACTATGTCCCCTAACTGCCCTTCAGGTCTGGAACTGAACCTACTCCTGTGCCTTCCAGCCAAACAAAAGACAGGCATATAAGGTGAACATTTACATTAGGTAGACATAACCCTTGGAGAGAACAATCATGGGAGAAAAGAAGGGCTATGTATGCACAGGGAGATAGCTGGGGGGGCAGGAGTACATGGAGGGAAGGACACAGGGAATAGGTAACTATGGGGAGGAAGTGGAAGGGGAGCTGTTGCACTGTGGTAAACTGTAGTCAATGTCATGAGACAAAGTGTATGTAAGCTGTTGTATGGAAAGTGAATTTGCTCCGTAAACTTTCACCCAAATCAGAAGTTTAAAAAAAAACAAAATACAATTGGTCAGTTTCACAGGACTCACTCTCTCAGGTCTGCTCTCTCGGCCTGGGGGCTTCAGAATGTCATCCACATTCTTAGACTCTGGCTTCTTCTCTACCCGTGGAGCTGGAGGTGGCTGATGGCTTAGTGAAGGAGCTGACAAGGGCATTCGCTCCTCTGGGTAAGTTCTTCGTTCACCTAGAAGTTCAGTAGTAGAACAAAATTACTATTAAGATAGCAATTATTTTAAAACTTAACTCTTCCCACTGATCCTAAGGTAACATAATGCAGACCAAGTCTGACAAGTTGGTGGACCATTAGTTAGGGAAAGTTTAAGGAAATGAACAATTATTGAAGTCAGGAAAATTAAAAGATTTAGGTATGGTTTTAGAAAAACAGAATGTTCTGAAAAATACTGAGTTCATCCTTGTTTCTATTACATGTAGGGAAAAAGCTAAACAACAGGATATAGAAAAATAATATATACTTTGCTGAACAGTCCCATGTATGACCGATAGTTCTACAATTTTCCCTTAATAGTTTTAAAAACAAGATCACTAGCTTAGGAAAGCTTGTTCCCACATAAATAGGTGGATGTTTCTAGTTTAAGTATAATTATGTTGTTGTTGCTATTATGTGCTGTCGAGTTGGACCCGACTCGTAGCGACCCTTCCTTGGGTTTCCGAGGCAGTATCACTACAGAAGTACATTGCCCCATTTTCCTTCCGAGGAATGGCTGATGTGTCTGAACCTCCAGCCTTCTGGTTAGCAGTCAAGTGCCTTAGGCATACGCTACCAGAGCTCCTAAGTATAATTATAGCAATGACGAACTAAAAGTAACCTAAATGTCCAACAATAAGAGTTTTATGCTATATCCACACAATAGACTATCACAGAACCATCAATATAATAGGTACATATGGAAAAATGTGTATGGTGCTACCTCAATTGGAATAAGCACAATATAGAACAGAGAATGAGAGGAAACACACAAAATTTTAATAGCTGTAGTATGGCAGACAGTGGGATTATAAGTAACTTTGTTTCCATTCTCTAAAATTTCTTTTCTAATATAAAAAAGCTTTAGTTCAATAATTACATGGCTATTTTGATGATAGTGCTGCTATCTGTGAGAAATATGTGAATGTACTTTACTCTGCAAATTTAGATTCAGAGCTACCGTGGAGCACAGCTCCTGATGTTTCCATTCTCAATACCCTTAGAGTAATAGGCAGTGCTCTACCTCCAAACATGGATGGCCCTTCATAGGCTGGTCGGTCAGACTTCCGGTCATAGGACGGCCTATCAAACCCCCCTCTTCTGGATGAAGAATGGTCTTTTTTGTCTCGATATGACTGAGTCCTAGAAGGTGTAACAGCAAGTGCTTTGGGTAAATAAAAAATACTCGGAGGTCTCTGCTTTATAATGCAACACCATTATCTCTCCAATTTTCTCTACAGGTAGTGACTCTACATAGTCAATATTTACATTTTTATTTTGCTTTTCCATTTAGATTTGCCCTGCATACATATAACTAAAAGCTCAGGAACTGCACAAATAAATTGCTTGCTTACTAATTAAGTAATGACTGTACTTTCATTGACAATATCATTTTCTTTCCTTCTGATTGTCTCTCATCTCCCCTTTAATTCTCTGGAATCCAAGATGAGAAGATTCATATCCCTATTTTCTTGAACACTGGTGTGGAACTGCTCTTCTCTCTCCAAATTATACATACATATGAAAGCAATATGTCATTTACTAAATTGTGTTAGATACCCTGACTTTTGCCAAATTTAAGTATATGGTAATTTGCACACCTGGTAAAGATTAAGCATACCTATCATCTCGGGGTCGGCGTTCTCTGTCAAATCGATCCCGGTCATAGTCAATAACACCACGATCGCGGTCTCGGTCTCGATGTGTTTCCCGATCCCTTTTAAAATCTCGATGATCTGCCATGACATTACTTTGACGATCAAAATAAGGCTCACGGTCTCTGTCTCTATCATAACGATCGCGTTGGCCTGTATGCTCTACGAAAACAAATAGTTAAAAACTAAGACTAATGCCCCTTTGAAGGAGCTCTGGTGTATACTAGATAAGGCATTTGGCTGCTAATAAGGTCAGTGGTTCAAACCCACCAGCTGCTCTGTGGAAGGAAGATGGGGCAATCTACTTTAGTAAAAATTTACAGTCTCAGAAACCCAGTGGGGGGTCACTAAGAGTCACAATTGACTTGATGGCAGTGAGTTTGATCTTTTTTTTTTGGGAGGGGTACATCCTTTTTAATGACATAAAAGCAGAAAAGAACAATTTTAGAACTAATATAAACTACTGCCCTAAATTCAATCCAAGAACCTTTCAGCTACATGAGAGGGAGGCCCAGATAATCTCACCAAAAAGAAAATAATATGATAATTAGGTCCTAAAAGGTTCAAAAGTACTGATCTTTCTGGGATGCTTACCTGTCTCAAAAGTTGATCTTTCAGGTACTGGATCTGGGCGCAGAGTTATTCTTTCTCCATAGGGTATCTGCTCAACTTTATTAGTAGATATATCTGGTGAATAAAACCAAGGATAAAATGCTGTAAGAATGCAGTTTAGGGAAGCCAACGCTAAAGCTAATGGTTCCTCCAGAATCCCAAATATAAGTTCACTACTATTACTCACCTCGGCCATGGCCATAATCAACAGTCTGCTGTACTGGTGGAGGTTTGGACATTGGTGGCATACCCATAGGCATTGGGCCAGGAGGGGGAATAGAAGAGTGAACAGGTGGGAGGGGTAACACTGGACCAGGCGGAATTGTTGCATTTTCTGACTTAAATTCTGAATTCAGTCCTTGATCATCATTTGTATCCCACAGTCCATAGAAGGAATCTTCATCCCAGCGTTCCTGTTCTACACCAGAAGTTTGTGGCTTTATCACCGGAGGAGGAGGAGGAGGTGGAGGAGGAGGTGGTGGTGGTGGTATTGGGACAGGCGGCCTGGTCACAGGAACAGATGATCTTGCTGGTGGAGCAGAGGGTCTTACAATCGAACCTGGCGGTTTACCCATAGGAGGGGGTGGTCTATAGGGCCCTGGAGGCTGAAGAACAGAGAAAATGGCTGAGTAGACAAGCATACCACCACCTTTGCACAGATCAGCAGAAATTACAATCTGGGTTTCAATCCATAAAAGAAAAAATTGAGAAACTGGACTTACTCAAAATTAAAACCATTTCAAGTTTCAAAAGACACCCTTTAAAAAATGAAATGACAAGTCACAGGAAAAAAAATTGTAAGTATAGGATTTTCATTGGCTACTTTTAGGAGCACACCACCAGGAGGCCCTTCTTCCTAGTCCCTTAGTCTGAAAGCTTTGCTGAAGCTTGCTCAGCATCATAGTAACACGCAAACCCTCAGTGACAAGACAGGTCATGGCTGCACATAAGGTGCATGACCAGGAACTGAACTTGGGTGTCCTGCATCGGAGGCAAGAATCTCACCACTTAACCATCTCTGCCTCATATGTAGGGAAAATGATTTACCTGGAGGCCACTACAAGCTAGAGTTAAAGATAAATGACTATTCTTATCTAAAGGTAAATTTTTATTAGGTTATGGCATTTTTACTTTGTTAAGAAAACACATACATAGGATGATAAAGCTATTTTCTTTAGAGCCCGGCTATCCAGGGAAGGTTTAAATAGCCAAAAAATCTTGGCACTGTGTCTACAAATAAAAAAAAAAGTATTTTCTTCATACTATATAGTGAGAAGAAAAGATACATTAAAAAAAAAAATCTGTAGTATTTATGAGACAGGATTAACTTCTATATTACATTAAAGATAACACAAATTGATAGGGAAAAACTTTAGAAGCCTAGAGGATAAACTACAGGACAAAAACAGAACTGATACAAGAAGAAATATAATTAACAAATACAGAAAGATATTCATGCTCACTAGTTATCAAAAATGCCTATTATACATTTTGGTAAAACTATTAAATTTAGCAAAAACAACAAAAATTAACTAGCTAATGCATGAAGGATAGGCTATAGCACAGATGCTATACAACTGTTCAGAGAGCCACTTGGCTATACTACCAGGATCAAAAAAGAAGTCCTGATTCTTTGACTCAACTATACGACCTTAGAAATTTAAAATTACTCTAAGTAGTTAGCCAAAGTAAGAACTCAATACAAAGACATTCATTACAGTTGTGTTAATAATAAGAGTCAAAGATTAGAAAAAAAAAAGTCCAACAGAAATGGAATAGTTTGATAAAGTATCGATATCATAAATAATATATCATGGAGAAGGCAGTAATATAGAAAAATGTTTATGATTTTTTTAAGTGAAAAACCAGAAATGTGTTTATCTATAATTCAAAGTTCTTACTATTTACTAGGAGATACAAAGATAAAAGACATAGTTCCTATCATTAAGGGCTTAGTCTGGAAGGAAAGAGAACAATTAAAATACAATACAGTAGGGAATATGACAGGGCCACATATGGAGAGCGATGGTCTCACAAAAGCCGAAGAGAAAAGAGCACACAAAAAAGAAAGAAAAGAAAAAGATGAACAAGAATTTACCATTGCAGAAAGGGGAGAGAGAGAAGGAAACCTTAGACTTAGAGGAAACGCATATGTAGTGTCACGGAACAGCACATTCACACAACTGCAAGTAACTCCACAGGTAGGGAGAGTGGTATGTAAGTGAGGTGAGTAGCAACTAATGGTAAGCAGGGGTCAGGTCAGCTCAGGAAGAACATAAAAGGCCATGCAAAAGAGTCTAGATTTTATGCTGAAAGCAATGGGGAAACAATGAAGGAATTCAATGTCAAAGAGCAACAGGGTGAAATTAACGTTTTTGAAAACGCGTACTTGGGCCAGAAATCACATCAGTGCTGCCTAGATGGTAGGGGTGGTCCTGACTATAAAGGGGCACAAGAAAACTTTTTACTGCAATGGAAATTTCTCTTTCAGTACACATTTTCCAAAACTCAAACTAAAATCTTAATATGGGTGTATACTATTGTATGTAAATTATACTTCAAGAAAGATGATTCAAAATATAAAATCATCACTCTGGGAGCAGAATGGAGAATGGATTGGAGGGGAATGAGATGGAGAGAGATGAATTAGCACCTTTCTGAAATAATGTAGGCGAAAACTAGAAATAAGGTTGTGGGGAAAGAAAGGATAGAATTGTTGTTGTTACAACAATGTGGCCTCAAGTCAACTTCCTCTCATAAGGACCCCATGGGACAGAGCACAACTGCCTCATAGGGTTTTCTTGCCTCCAATCTTTATGGAAGATCCTCAGGGCTCCTCCAATGGAGCTGCTGGGTGGGGTGGAACTGCCAACCCTTCCATTAGCAGCCCAGCTCTTAACTGTTGTACCACCAGGGCAAACTGAGGATAGTAGAGTTGGGCAATATTACAAAGGTAGTAAAACCAATCAACAGAATAGGGGATATGGACATGGAAGGGTAAGACAGGGGAAAGAGGTAAGGGTGCCTTTCAGGTTTCCAGTTTGGATGACCAAGTGATGGTAAAGAGAAAAAACAAGTTTAATGGCTCTGTGTGTGTGTGATAATGAGCTCCATTTTGCACATGCTGAGTTTGACAGGAGACTTGTCCAGAGAGAAACCCTGTAGGCAGATGCACATATAGATCAGGAGACATGATTTGGGAAGGAAGCAATAACAGGGTAGTTACTGATGTCAACAACTATGTATGAGTGTTATAAGTCAGACCAGGATGGAAGAGAACATTAAGAAATTTAAACAGACCATTAGACGAAATGGTTTAAGGGTGTTTTTCCCACTATCATTGTGCTGTCATAGAGTTATCTACAGAACGTTTTTAAAGCCTATCACTGGTTTGAAGGTAAAACAACAGAGTAAAGCAAAGGGAGAATCTAATCATGCAAGTTTTTAAACATATACTATCTGTCATCATTACTGCTTTAACTTGGGGTGTGAGGGTGAATCCTGCCTGAGGAGAGGGGAACAGTACGAGGTTCACATGTACAACCCGTAGGAGCCTTTAAGACTGCCTAGATGGGAAACAGGAAGACTTGAACATAAAGGATTATTAAGAACATTCTATTAATTCTGTGAACATGAAGCCATGTAGTTCAGGAATGGTTGGTATATTTATCAAAACCTGGGGGAAATGAGCATTTCTGCGGTACTTTTGGCCATGTCTGTAAGATTTTCAAAGGTCTACTATTACCATAAGCTTTGTAGTTTTCCAAAAGTTATGGTTTTTTGTAGAGGAAATCTATACTTACTGTAATACCAAAAAATCAAACTGCATACAAACACAAAAAGTAGAAGCCATTCACTCCCTTAGCACCCGTTTTCCATACCGGATACATCCCAGGCCGGGAAGCTGTATTCTGCAATCTTGATGATTCCTGGGGTGGTGGAAGGTCGGTCATCTGTGGCTCGGACCCAAAGTCCTTCATCTTTTGAAGCTGTTCTTTCTGTTCCCTGTAAACAAATAAAACAAAATTTCCACTGCATGTAGACAATGCTACTCCATTCCTGGATGACCACAGCTAACACCAAAGAAGAAAAAAAAGACCTAGAAACCTCATCTTAAGATCCTCTACTATGCCCACAGAGCACCTCCCTTGCCTTTATGTAGCTAACTGATAAGTCCTAAGACCTATGGATAACTATAAATTACTGAAAATCTCCAAGGGCCTTCTACAAGCTGACGCATTCTAGTATCTCATATTTATATTTCTCTCATTAAACCAAAATCTCTCTTGCTTTGTTTTTCCCTTTGTTCAATATTCCTTCTACCAGAGGCTGCAAAATAGTGGCCCACAGGTCAAATATGACCTACAGCGGCTTGTCATTTGGCCTTCACATCAGTTTTTTACATTTAAGTTTGTTGTTATTGTTTACAAAGCAAAAAAACAAAACAAAAAAAAAACCCTCATCTCTAAATACAAATTTGTAAAGAGATTTGATAACACTGGGTCTACATCCCCACATGAAATTATCAGGTGGAGGGTCATGGCTGTCCACTTTAGATGAAGCACTTGCCACAATCCACACCACACTCTGACTGAGTACACCTGGCCTACTTTCACTCAATTTTGTTACCTGACCCCTGCTGTTGATAGTGAGAACAACTGTTGGTGTATACCATTAAAATTACCATTAAAAAACAACACTTCATAGTCCTAAAGAGTAATTAAGTAACCCTTCAGGGTTATTTTATTTTTGTTTTCTAAAATCTCTGGTCAAATTAATTCCTTTTACATTTCCTTACAACGCCTAGCTTAAAACATGTAATATCTACTGCAACCTCTGCACATCTTTTACAGTTTTCTCCCTACATCATTTTGTAAAGTGTAGTAACTCAAACAGTCAAAAAAGTGAGGATACGGTATATCTTCTCCAAAAAAAAAAAACCTCACTGTCACTAAGTTGATTCTGACTCATAGTGACCCTCACTGGGTTTCCGAGGCTGTATATGTCTACGGAAGTGGATCACCTCATCTTCTGTGAAGGAGCTGGTGGGTTTGAACTGCTGACATTCAGGTTAGCAGCCAAATGCCTTACTCGCTATGCCACCAGAGCTCCTTTATATAAGATTATTTTCTGTCTCACGTAAATCATATTCCTTATGATAATACTTATGACTGTATACTGACAAGATAGGCTACTTACATTCAGCTATGGCCACTCTTACCCAGTACCGTCTTATATTTAATTATGTTTATGTTGCCTAGAAAGAACTTCTTTACAAAATGACATTAGGAAGTATCTTTTATCTAGCATTTTTATGCAAAGTAGTAATGGATGAAGAGGAAGTTTTAAAAGAAAAGGAAAGAAATCCTGGCAGCCTAGCAACACAATCAGCTCAGTGCTTTCCATAAACAACACAGGTTTTAGAATTGGATAGAACGGGTTCAAATCTTGGGTCTGTCACTTATTAATCAAGTGATTTTGACCTCTCTAAGCCTTAGTGTCCTCATTTGTGAAGTAGAGATAACATTATTTATCTTTGCAGGCCTTTGAGATATGATAGGAGGATTACGGTAACATACGCTAGATGATTAACACAGCACACAGTAGGTGTTCAATTAAAAATGCCTATACTTTAAAAGTAAATAGTGTAGTAGCTGGCTGTCCTATAGCATGCTTCCTTCTTCTTCATGAGTAACCCAGAAAAAACCACACCTCTTAATGCATGTCTTCTATAGACCACAGACATCTGTTTTGTTGCCTAAGGTACCTGGCCTTTCATCTTTACCTTATTTTCCCTCATCATATTTTTCTAGTCCTAGAGTTTCAGTTATAATTTCAATTATGCAGACCAGAATCAAAAATGAAGGAAACACACTACACTGGAACCTATCAAAACCTGTTAATTATTTTCTCAAAACATTAGTAATTCCTAAGAAATTGCTAAAAGGTTACCATCTGTCAACGACTCCTAACTTCCTATGCTAAGATATAGTCAATTTAAGTGAGGTATTAAATGAGTTAATATACACAAAGCACTTAGCACAGTTCCTGGCAGATAGTAAGTACACAATAAATGTTAGCATAGGAAGCATTATGTAGATAGTTGACTGCAAGTAAAGAAATCCAAATTCTATTCTCTAGCTCACAAAGAAAATACTCGATTATGTAGAAACAAGTAACATCATCAAGTAGGTATCTACTTCTAGTTATAATGAAAGGTACAACATCCCAAAAAGAAAGTATCAATCCTTAGAAGAATCTGAGGACACTCCCAAGTAAAAACATTCTTAGCTTCAAGAGAAAAGCACAAAGCCTTGACAATACTTTTCAAAATTCTACCAATGATTAGTGAACCTGAAGTCTGTCAGATCTAATACCAAGAACAAACTGACTACTGGGAAAAAATGGAGGCCACATATGAGCCCTGTGAAATCCAGAGCACTGGAAAGTTCAACACTTCAAACATGCACAGACTTGGCATGTCAACAACACAGCTACAAAAGCCAAGAATGGCCATCAATTTTCACATTTTGGGGCATAAGTTTATAATTAACACAGTTCCTAAATACCTATCCAAATTCTGTAACAGCGCTGAATGACCAGAAATATAAAATTATGTGGTAAGAACTTGAAGTAAAATGATTCCACTCAAATATATCACATCACTTTACAAAGAGCAGTCTGAACGTGGTTTTGACTAAAAGAAATTATCTTAAGTAGTTAACTTACCGAAGCATTTTCAGTTCTTGTGCAGCCTTCAAAATGATTTCGTGCTGCCTCTGACTGAGAACCATTACCCCTCCAAGGCCTTGGTCAGAGTCTAAGTTTGCATCCGACCCCATCATTTCAGAGGAATGATGTGAGGAGGGCATATGTTCCGCCATGGGGGAATGTCTATCCGCATCAGATGGGTACCATCTGTCTGACAACCGTTCTCTTTCCCAGTCCATTCTGTCAGGAACATAATCCCGTTTTTCCCGCCATGTATCTCCTCTTTCTGGATACTCTCGAATCCTCAACTCACCCCTATCACGGAAATCTCGATCATACCCATGGTCTCGATTTCGTTCTTCTCTCCATCTATCATCCCGATATCTATCCAAAGGTGGAAGAGGTGGGAGGTTTGGTAAAGATGGAATAGGTGGTACATCCCGTTCATGAAATTGTGATTCTTGTTCATCCAGTGGTCTCCCATAATCTCTGTCCCATTCATTATCCAAATTCCTATCATACATATCCATGGGTCTTCCAATCCGATCCACATCCCTATCCATGTCCCTGTCCATTTCCCTATTGTAGTCCTCATCCATATCCTGATCTCTTTCCCAATCATCCCACCAAGGGCCTCGCCTATCTCCATCATGAGATCGAGGTGGTGGCGCTGAAAACCTGTCCTCTCTGTTATACGGATCTAGAGTATCATCCTGATACTCACGTTCACACTCTCTCCAGTATCTATCTCTATCCCAATCATTAAGTCTTTCTCGTTCCATTGGAGCATTTCTACCATCCAATGGGAATTCTTCATGCCCTCTCTCTTCTCCATGATTCCATGGAGCCCTAGGAGGCTCATCTCGGTGATATGGATACATTTTTTCCCCACCGTCTCCTGGTTCTGGTCTGAATGGACCTCTATCTCGACCAAAATCTGGTCTTCCCAATCCCCGTTCCCTACTGCCAGGCCCTCGAGGCGGTCCCCTCTCCCGGCTCCCAGCTCTCCGGGGTGGTATTCTCTCCCTACTCCCAGCCCTCCGAGGGGGTCCTCTCTCCTGACTGCTGGCCCCCCGAGGTGGTCCCCGTTCTCGGCTGCCAGCTCTACCCCTGTCCTGGCTGCCTTGCAGACCACCTGGCACTTTCTCCCGACTGCTTCCTGGCCTCACCAACCCTCTGTCCCGGCTGCCTTCTCCTCTGCTCATCTTCTCTCGACTGTCTTCTCTTCTACCCATCATCTTATCACGAATGTCTTCTTGCTTGACCAACCCTGGGCCCCGGCTAATTGCCTGGCCTCGACCTCTGTTTACAAGAGCTTTATCCCGTGTGTCTTCCATTCTGCTTTGCCCAGGACCTCTGTAAGGTGTACCACTGCCTCGACTGCCTTCTAACCTATTATCTCTATTATCTGGTCTAGGCAGCCCTTTATCTTGGTTGTTTTCAGAATGGGGCAGACCAATACCCATAGATTTAAAATCATTATCTGCAGTTAATGATGATGATGTTGCTGTTACTGCTGCTGCTCCTCCCTCCATCCCCCCTGCTTTTGAAGGAAAAGTAGATTGAGAAGGTATAGGTTTATTTGCAAGGGATACAGGCTGAGTAACAGCTTGGGCTTTGTCCATTTGAGTCTCCATGCTTTGAGAATTCTGGTCCCAATTAGAAGGCTCTATGGGTCCTTCCAAGACTTCACTTTTAGGTGGCTCTTGCTGAGAGTCGCTTAGATTCTCATTCGATTGAGCCGCCTTGGCATCCTTTACATCTGCAGGAATGGAAAATGGAGCTGATTGCATTTTAAAATTCTTCTGCTGGTTACTATTGGTATCTGCTAACAGTTCTTTGTTTCCTGAAAGAGGTTCTGCTTGTGACTTAGGAGGCTGCTGCTGATGTTGTTGTCCAAAAGCTGGTTTGGGGCCTCGCCACTGTGGTCCACTCTGTCGAGGACTTAGGGATGTACTGGGGGTAATATAAAACTGAGATGCTGGCCCCCGGGGAATCATTCCCCATTTGCTTTTAGTGCCCTCTGTTGGGTGACCTTCATATCTGGGTCTTGGCCCATCGGGGCGATTTCCTTCAAAACGAGGCCCTTTGGGTCTCGGTCCTTCACACCTTGACCCTAAATCCTCAAATCTTCGAGGACCATCAAATCTACAAGTAAAACAAAAGATATTACTCAAGACAGTAAAGCAGGAAAAATATATTCTCCATGTAAGAATAGTTAAGGCAATCTTGCCTTAAAATGTGATTACACCAATGACTCTTTCAGTCATAAAACAAATCCTAAGTCACCTAGATCTTAAAACCAGTATGCTAATGTGGCAGTGCTCAGGAGATCTTAGGCCAGGCTTTGGAAATCATGTCACTATTATCTAGTTTACTCAGACACAGACAGTGCAGCAAGTCACTGATACACTGCATTGTTAAAAAGCAATCCTATTTGGAAACAGAGTGGTGATGGTTGCACAACATGTGGAACATAAATAACGCCACTGAAATGTACACGTAAAAATGGCTGACATGGCAAATGTTTGTTACCACATAAGCCAAAAAGAAAAAAAGGCAATTACAAGTATTGTACCTTAAGAGACAGAAAAGCCAACTCATTTTAAACAAACAAACAAAAAAAAATTCCATAGCTTACTCAGGGTACTTTTAGAAATAAAATATAGCTAAAAAATAAATATGAAACAATAATACAAGATGATAATAAATATTGTTGGAGCTGGCATTTAGACCTTGACTGACAAAAGTTTAAAAGCAGCAGCATATTGTAAAAATGTGTTTTGACTTTTTAAAAAGTCTGGACAGAGATGTTTTTTATATGGACCCACTCACTCACTCAGTAAATATTTAGTGCACACACTACATCTGTCAGGCAGTACACTATGTCCAAGGGATACACACATAAAATATCATCTGTGCTCTCAAAGAATTTACAATACAGCAGAAAGAGAATCTAAGTATAAATAACTGCAATAGGTGCAATGAGTAAAGTCTATTTGCGCATGATAAGGGAATGGAAGAGCGAATGGTTGATTCCACCAGAGTGGGGAGGTGTTTGTTGTCCAAAATCAGAAGAGGCTTACACTAAGTCTTGAAATCAAATTCTCTGAGACCAGACTAACAGACTGTGTTGGAGATGGAGGAGTAGGATGCAAGGGCATCTCATACTGAGGAAGTATGAGGAAAGCAGTGAAGCATATATTAATATAGCTTGTACAAATACTTTGGCATGGCTGAAGCAAAGAGGAGACAGAGTAGGAAGAGTTGAGAAAGAGGAAGCAGTGGAAAACAGCACACTGGAAGATAAGGTAAAGAGGTAGGTAAGGGTCAGTCCCCAGGAGACTGCCTGCCTCATGTATCAGAGACTGCTGGTGGCCCTTAATACCCACTCCTCTTTATTCTATAGCAACAGAGCTCTCCTATTGTTAGCTGAACACAAGGCTGCCCAAACTTCAAACTTCATTTCCTAACCTCTGTTGCAGCTACGTATAGGTAAAGGTATGGATTGAGAGTGAAAATTATTTACATAAGCTTCTGTGGATTATCAGGAGTTCTGGTAGCACAGAGCCTAAGGCATCTGATTGCTAATCAGAAGGTTGGCAGTTCAAGCCCACCCACTCCTTAGAAGCAAGACTGGGCTTCTACTTCCGTAACGATTTACCACCTAGGAAACTCAATGGGAGTGCTATGAGTCAGAATCGACTCGACGGCAGTGGGTGTTTTTTTTCCCCCAGTTCTGGCTTACAGAGAAAGGCACATCTTCTGCTTCACTGTTCCTTTTTTTTTTTTCCATGCTGGCTATAATTCTGACCTGGGTAAAGCATTCTGCACCACCTAGCTAAGGGCTCCATAAAAGGGATGGTGAAGTAATAAATCAGAAGAAATCTGGATTCTAGATCCTATGAAGTCATCACATAAGTCCTGAGAGAAAATAAACTTCTAACTTGTTAAAACGACAGGACTTTGGATCTGTTACAACAAGAACATTAATTCTGCCGGTTAAGAGTTTGGAATTACCTGATAAACACTGAGAGCCACTGAACATGGTCTAATTTTTAAGACTGTTCTGGTAGAATAGCGATGGATGGGTAAGAGGAAGAAGTTTAAAGATGATTTCTATAGTTTCAGTGAGTGAAGATGAAACCTGGCCTTAAGCAGTGGCAGTGACTAATATGAAGATGTTGAGGAGGGGATAAAGGTGAGAGATGGGAAAGAAGGTAGAAGTGATTAGATTTAAGAGTACTAAAAAACTCACTGTCGTCGGGTCTGATCCGACTCATAGAGACCCCTCCTTGGGTTTCTGAGGCAGTAGCACTACGGAAGTAGATTGCCCAACCTTCCTTCCGAGGAGTGGCTGGTGGGTTTGAATCACCAGTCTTGTGGTTAGCAGTCAAATAGCCTTAGGCACTATGCCACCAGAGCTCCCAGATTTAGGAGTAGGAGGGATTAAAATGATAATGAAAAGGGAAAATTTACACTAAATCTAAGGTTTCTCACTTAGATGACTGTGTCATCTCCTTTCAGGAGAAGTTGAAGGATTTTTGTGTCATTTGTTTGAGAAATCAACGAAGAGTAAAAATTCTAGTAAATAAAAATAAATTTCGGTAACATTTTTGCTTCCCATACCTGTGACTTTAGGCTTTGCTGGTCTAGACATCTTAGTTCTAAAGGGAAGAATGCTTCTACCAGGGACACAACAACGATTTTAGTGAAAGAAGGGGGTTCCTATCCTGTCTGGGGGTGACTGATTCTGACTTTCAAAGGAAAACTGGGTTACTACTACACTACGGGGACTGCTGTTGCTGTTGTTAGGTGAAAGGGTTTATCTGGAACGCAGGAGGTCCTCCAGGACACCTCTTAGTACTTCCACACCTGTGATGAAAGTCAATGGGAAATTATAATACCCCAATTCAGGTTTGACTCGTAATAGTCCAGACCCTTGAAGAATGATGGTTTAGATCACTCCACTAGGCAAGGAACTATGACCAGTTGAGATGTTTGCTGAAGGCAAAGGGAAAATGGAATGGGTAGTAGAAGAAGGAAGTGACCAGTTGTAGAAATAAGGACTGTAATAGTTGAGTATTTCTTCCTTACTTACAGAGAGAAGAAAGTACACTGTCTTAGAGCTTTTGACGGTTTGGTCCATTTTATTGAAGCTACATTTATTAATTCAAAGTGCATGGAACAATAATATTTTAAAAGTTACATAAAATCATCTGCTTTGTATCCGATTCAGCAATTATTAGTTCACGTAAGTGATAAGAGAAACCTTATCAGCATGTTACCCAGCATTATAATCAAATTCTGGATGTGAATGAGCTGCCTTCCTAACTAGATTGTGAATGTCTAGAGAATTTTGTCCATGGCCGACATTCTGGCGTAAGCAACATTTACTGAGCACCTAACTGTCAGGTACTGTTGTCAGTGCTGGAACAGCGTGATACCTCAACTCAAGGATTTTACAGTCCCCAGGAAAAGTGAGATAAATAAATAAACAGTAAGTACAGAGTTTGATAAATATGGGACATGTTTGTCTTGTTCACATAGTATCCCCAATGTCTGACTCACTTAAGGATCTCAATACATACTTACTGAAGTGCCATTCCCGAGCAGGAAAAATAAGAATTAGCCAAGCAAAAATGGGCGGAAGGAGATTCTGGACAAAGAGAAGAGCATGTATAAAGACCAGAGGAAAGAACAAAGAAAATAGGAGGCACTCAAAAGTGTGCAGATAAGAAGAGCACATGGTAGAAGAGCTGATGGAAGTAATGAAGTCTTTACTGCACAGCCTCGCCTCATGCCTGCACATAAATAGGTACTTTCTAGGAAATGGTACTTTGCTTTTAGACTAAATTGCTCAACAGCCAAGGCCATCATTTTACTTATTCTTTAGGGGTCAGAAAATGTTAAACCATTGACATATGCTTTCAATACTACATATAATATGGCAATTATTTATTAATATAACACTTTCAAATTTCAAGGATGTTAAAAAAATGCTAGACTATCAAAACTTCTTTCATTTATAAAAGCCAAGAACTTGGGAGGGAAGGACACAGGGAAGAGGTAACTATGGGGAGGAAACAGGAGGGGGGAGCTGTTACATTGTGGGAAATTGCACTCAATGTCATGAGACATAGTATATGTGAGCTGCTGCTGTATGGAAAGTGAATTTGCTCTGTAAACTTTCACCCAAATCACAATTAAAAAAAAAAAAAAAAGCAAAGAACTTATACACCTCTAGAATAAATAACGTAAGAGCTGGTCATATTAAAAATTAATATGTAAAAGAGTCATCTTCATATATCAGTACAATGATATATTATAACTTTATAAAATATAAAAAACATGTATTTAAAATAAAAACGTAGTATGAATTTAGCAAATACAATAACATGAAAATGGATGTATGCACATTGATTACATGAAAAGAGAAATAAATATTTGGTGTTTCAATATCTAGAAAATTTTCCTTTATTCTGCTGTTTTGCAAACCCTTAAAAAATTAAATCCATAAAACTAGGTCTAAAACCCTAAACTGGAGAATAAAATCCTAGATCTAACATAAAATCCCTAGAATTAGCTATAAAAATCACAAAATTTGATCTAAAACCTCCAAATTAGATTAAAAAAAAAAACCCTAAGTGGTATACAGAAAACAAATAACCTTAAACTAGGTAATGTCTGAATATCACACTACTTATAAAAACATACTAAAATAAGCAGATTATGTGAATTATGAGATATTAAATTTGGGAACCAAACTCCTACTTTCTTAGTTTTCATGTCAAATAACATCTATTTTCTAACATGTATAAACCAAGGTCCTAAAAATCAAAATTCCCCAAAAGAAGTAATCACTTTAACTAAGAACATCCATGACACGTACAGTATTGCATTGTCAGTGATGACAAGCGTTCACCTACAGGTGGATAGATAGGTGGACAGGCTGAATGATCAGGTATGTCTAGGCAGAGGGTAGCATGCCCATGACCATGTACAGGGTTAGCAGACAATGTTTCTACATGCGTATTTGTATGTGCTCTAAGAACGTCCAGGTGTATAGCAGAGTTGACAAGAGGCAAGGTTGTGGTGGCTTCTTAGCCACAGCCAGCTACTCAGAGGGAGTAAGTACTTGGACCTGT